ACTTCGAAACAACTTTCGGGAAACGATTTTCTTTTGGTACGATTTCGTTTTTAACTAGTTAAATTTCGTTTTATTTGTGAGAATCGATAAAATGTTATTAAGAAAACTTATGCAAGCAAACCTTTAATTTTAAGAAAAACCTAAAATCAAGCAAAATATCAAAATATTAAAATTTTGCAGAAATACACAACTTTTAACTTTGAGAAACTTTTTTTAATAATATTTTGTGACACCTCATGCAAAAATGACACTTTACTGGTGAATAAGATCAGATTTTTCTAAATTTCCAAGGTTTACTTTATGGATATCAGATAAAACCGGAATGTATCCCAGAAGGCTATTTTTTCAACATCCACATTTTTTCTCTTTCAAAGAGTCGTTTCATCCAGGAACATGCTGTATAATAATTTGACTGATTTGGTTAATTACACAGAACCACAAAAAAAAATCGACGAGAGGTCTCCTCGGCCAAACCTATCGTATTATATGTATTTTGGGTCGCTGAAACCGAATCTGCAACTCATTTGGTCCAATCACGTCAGTTTTTTTCTAACCTCAAAAAATAGCTGAGAATGGTAGAATTCATCAAAATCAACCCTGCAACCTGTTAAAGACCGCCGTCACCGCGAGGAGGTGTCCTGGATGTCCCCACACGAAAATACTTTTGATTCGGAACCTTTATTTTCAAGCTCTAAATGAATTGAGAATCAAGTCTTACACGTAAGTCTTGATGTTATTGAATTTCAGGGTTTGGCGCAGAGTTCAAATTAAACAAATCAAAGTTCAAAAGGAATAGGCGACCAAGGCGATTTTTCTCATGAACCCAAGCTCCTAAACCCTCATATCCTAGGAGCAGTAGGATCCACGTTCGTTGCGCAACAGACAGGCAAACGGAACGACTATGCGTGTACACTCAAGCTTCCGAATCCTCGTGGCAGCGAGATACACGTTCATCACACAGCAGATAAGCGAGCAAAGCCAACTTTCTTTCGCACCCAAACTCCCAAGCCCACATACTCTGGTCGGAGCGAGATCAATGTTTGTTACAAAGATGATAAAGAAGCAAATGGAGCTTAGTATCAAACCTAACCTCGCAAACTCTAATACTCTCTTGTTTCACCTAGGGTATGAGGGTGTAGAAGCTTGGTTTCATGAGTCCCGCCAAAGGCCTGTGTGATGGAAGCGTAGATCTTGCTGCGTCCAAGGTACGTTATGCTCAGGGTATGTGGGTTTGGGATTTTGGGTTTAGGGACCCTACTGTGTAGGGTCGAAGTGATCGCCACCGTCACCCTTATTAATGCCGGCCCTGGTTTTGAAGTTTTGAGGCTTTAGGGTTATTCAGCTTCGGGGTTTTGAGGTTTCAGATTGAGGCCTTGTCGTGTTTTCAGGTTATGGGGTTCCGGGGTTTTAGGTTAAAAAGGTTTACTATTCAAAAATGAAGGTTTGTGCTCTATGTGTAACTTTATTCGCTGCTTATTTTGGGTTTTTTAGTTTTGGGCTCATCCAATTTTGAGGTTATGTATTTTTAAGGTTGCGAGTTATCATTTTACGGCTTGTCGGGCTCGTTCGGGATCATAAGGATGTGGAGTTATAAGGTTTTAACAGGTTGCAGGATTGATTTTGTTGAATTCTACCATTTTTCAGCTTTTTTATGAGGTTAGAAAAAAACTCTGACGTGATGAGACCAAATGAGTTGCAGCTTCGGTTTCAGCGACCCAAAAAACATATAAAACGATAGGTTTGGCCGAGGAGACCTTTCGTCGATTTTTTTTGTGGTCCTGTGTTATTATTCTTTTATTTTGACAGTAGTTGTTTCTTATGCATTTAATAGTGTAGTGTTCGAAAGAATACGACGTGTTATTCCATTTCGACACCAACTATTCCCAATATACAATTTGCATTGTTAAAAAAATAATTGCTCAGTTTGTGTATACCCTTTGTAAGAAAATATTCTTAAGTTTAGACGAAGGAAACGCGCACTAATTTTCAGAATGACAGAAAGAATATTTGACATGTAACAGGCTTAATACAGTTTAAATTTAAATGAACCAAACTTCGATAAACATATTCGTAAAACAAAAGTAGCATTTGAAAACCTAAGAAAATGTCTTTTTTTTCGTGAAAAGCCGGTTTCAACGAACTTAGGACTTACAAATACAGAAACTCGTCATCCGGATGATTAAGTGAAAAGACTACACACGCTTGCACGAAAAGGAAGATTACACACTTCCATGCAATCCCGAAACGACATTAATAGCCCAGAACTTCATCAATATCCTTTGCCGCGCCTTTTTTGAAGACGTGGCGAGTAGTGCGACATCAAATCTCTTCAGATCTCGGGCTCCCCCACGCCGCCACATATTCATACACACCGGCACCCTCTAAATAAGAAGGTCCTGATTAATGACACCCTCAAGAACGCGACGACACAAAAGTTCCGCTCGCGCCCGTGAACATTTTATCAAAATATCAGTACAGATTTCACACGTAACGCTATTTGTCATCCCCGTCGGCGGGACGCGGGGACGGCGGGCTGGAAGCAGCGGCGGCTCGTGGCAATATGCAGTGGGCAGGCAGTCGGCGAAAAGTCGATATAAAATTTTGTAACAGTTATATTTACATGTAACTTTCAGAATTTTAAAAAAATTGTATATTTTAAGTTTTTATTTTTCACAAATGTATTGCCATTCTATAAAAATAGGGACTGGTGTCTTGGGTATATGCAACAGAGTTTTCACTGGCCACCTCTGGCAGAGCATTCAATGAACTTAAACACTTAATTTAAATCTCCCATAAAACATATTTAAGGAGTACCTAGTGTCTATTAATCATTTAATTCTAAATAATAATAAAATTGTTGTAATGAGATTTAGAACTCTGAACCCTTACAGGCTACGACAGAAAACTTAAATTTGACAGTGACAGAATCCACAAAATTACTCGGAACGTTTCTTGATTTCATTAAATCGACTTTTTCTTCTGTAAAAAGGGAATAGTAAGGTTCATATTCAGACCCCGCCGTCCCTGACGAGCCGCCACTGGCTAAAAATCGCGCGGACAATGACAGAGTATCCTTAGAAATACCCGCGGACGGGGCGCACAGGGTACGCGGAATAAGACCTCTAATGCGGCGGCATGCGACCCCGCGCTCAAGAGGAAATTAATCGGCCTCTTTCCCTCAAAAGAAAGTACGTATTGATTTCCGCCGGTCCGTCTCCTTTATTCTCTCCACCCTCAACAAAAACGGGCCCATTTATTATGCCACCATTTTTACGCATGCCGAAACAATCTAGGGGACAAGATAGGACGCGATTGATTCCGTACGATCAGCGCCGGACGCCATTTTTCAGACTCATAGGGCGATTTAAGGTGCACGAAAACCGAATGGAACTCGCACAAAGCGAATATCTTTCGCTGTCCAGAAGATTTCCTCAAACGGAGGCCTTAAGTCATTAACGCTTACATCATAAAGCCTCAACGCTGCGCGAGTGACGTCACGTGGTGAGAGATATGTCACTTGGTAAAGCAATGAAACGTATCGTTATGTATCTACGGATTAACAATTAACATTAAAACCAAAGACATAAAATTGCGATGTGCTTAAAGTACACGATGATGATTTAGTTATGAACAAATGTCTGTATAGCATTTAACAAGTTTTTGACTCCATTTACAAAGCAAATTGTTCGATAAATATATGCGGTATCCTAATCAACAGTGGATCACGGGTTAAATCTGAAAGATGAATGAACAAACTGTGAAAATCCAACTAAAATGTTATTGCAATAAAAAATATTATTTAGGATCTCGATAATGAAATGAACTGAGGTAATCAAGAGTACATTAAATTGGGGAAATGTTTCCTGGAAGTTTCAGAATTAATAACATTTGTTACATTTACACCAGCAATGTTGCCTTCTAAAATATAGAAAACTACCTCGCTATACAACATTTTACAGCTACAAATGACAGTGGAAACTGAACAATTTCGGATCTAATTTTTTTCAACGAGTGTACGCCGTCGAGACGCGTCCGTTAATTTTTGGCATTCCCGGAAGTCCTCAGAGGAGGCACGAGACTTTTTATGATAAAGCGATTAAAGGCAGGGGTTCTGAAAGAATCGTAAAACAAAGATGGGTCATAAATATTTATATGTTGTTCCCCTTTTACCGCATGCGGAGGTGGATCTGCTTTATGTTAGAGAAAATGAATAAATGATATCCAGGTAAATGTTTAACAAAACTAAGGCCGGTCCGTTTCCTTCCTAAAATAGTAACGAATTCCTGGATGTCGTAAAAATATTATTCAGGACACTCGGGGAAGCAGCTACCCGAAATAATAGGGTCGTTTCCATAGGCGAAATTTTATATAAATATAAAATATTTATAAAAAAAATCAATAAATAATCAGGAACTGTCATAAAAAGTTGATATTTTAATTGTTTCCGTCACTCAAGTAAACTTCCAACCCCCATGTCTTATAATGCAGGCAATTTCTGCCCCAGAATGTCAGGAAAACAATTTCAAGTTCGATTCGTAACAGAAAAGTTATGTCCAACACCAACATTTGGTAAGCGCATTTTCAACTTGTTTTAGTCTGCTTTCCATTTATCACGTACATTTGTTGGTCCTTCGAGCCGGATGTGCGTGATAAAGGGAAAGCGGACTAGAACAGAAATGCACTTACCAAATGCGTGCAGTGGGTGTAGCGGATGCGAAAATGATCGTGCTAATCTTGTGTAGTGAGTGAAATCAATCCAAATTAAAATTGTGAACTATGTTGTTCAGCTATCAAATAAAAGATTAAATTTAGTTCTCCTTTGTATCCCTTTAGCACAAAACTACGGCACGTCAAAAACCCAAGAAATACATGAGCCTTGCTCAAGTTTTCCGCAGAAAAATTATTTAAAACATGGAAAACCATGCTATTGAAACAAGGCGAACATTAGTGTAGTGAGAAGAGAGCCTTTGTTAAAAATTCAAACAGAGTGTCGCACTTACTTCTGTTCGTCTATGGGGACGTCCGAGGCCGCATCAAAGGGCACGGCGTCTGCGGTGAAATCCGACCCCCGCTCCAAAACAATGGACAGCTGGGGAGCCGCCTCATCCCACCGTCCCTCTAAATTCAAATTCGCCGCCGTTGCCGACGTCTCCGCAGGCTGCACACTGGCCGGGGCTATGAAATATAAATTACAAATTAAATTCACTAAGTAAGCATTTATACTGCTGTGTAATTTATTTGACAATTGCGGGCCGGTAGGAGGAGAAGGATACGTAAGGACAAGAGAAGGAGAGACGGGGAAAATCTGGAGGATTTATTGAAATGTGTTTGAATCTATTAATGAGACGTTTCGAAAATACTATAAATTGGCAAAATGTCAAGAGGAAACTACTGCAACTACAAGAACTTGTATACAGGCTTCACCAGACCAAATGCGGTTGGAGAAATTCTAATCAGGAAATTCTAAAATAATAATCTACAAATATTCTAAAACATGTATAAAATCTTTTATTAGCCACAAATTCCTTAAGAGAAACCAATAGAACTTATGCCATCTTTCTTTTATGCGCCCATTTTTCAACTTATAAGGTGTCAAAGTACATTTTTTGTGTAATTTTTGATACAGATCTGGCCTTAACATGCGCAGTACGAGTTATCTGTTTCGTGTCTGACTTTTGCATTGTGTTGTTGTGTTGTTGTTGGTATCCCGTTGTGAATAATTGCTCGAAACAACTTACAACTACTTTTTTGTATTACAACACCCTGTATGCCAAAAGAAAACGTCAGACGTCAGTTTAAAACTCGGGATTCTGAGTGGATTTTTCAGTACGGAAGTTCCAATAATGGCAGGCTAGAATTCCGCTTTTCAGCCGGCAGCGTAGGAAGGTATATTTTCCAGTATTATTAGGAGGATTGCGAAGAACAATAAAATAAATAAAGTCAAGCCGAGCCGAGCCAGATGAGAAGTTCCGAGATGCCTGACACTCTCCATTCGCAGCGGGGGTCCCTGCGAGGCTTTCGGAAAGGATTATGGATTTCTTCTTAATACCACCGTCGGGTCCCTAGGAGGAAAATCCCCTTTTAATCAATATTTGCGAAATATGTTACTCTTTCCATACTTTCGTAAACTTCCACGGTCTCATTATGTAGCAACTTATTTATAGATGTTTCAGAAACGCGGGACGGTCGATGTATCGAAGTTTCCACAATGAAAAATAAATACATAAAAGTCCAGGAATATTATTTCTTTTATGTCTCGTCATGGCCGAATAATCAAAAACAACATGCCAAACCACTACAAGATGTTCGCAATATAAGTACCGTAGGTTTAATATCTCATAATATAGATCAAAATAAACAAAAAAAAACTACTACAGAATAGAACTATAAACTAAAAACAGTTTGTTTGAAAAGTTCGAAATTCCAGTTTGCAAAATAAACTAAATCTTGTGAAGCACGCAGTATTTGTAGCAACCGGTATCGAGGTAAATATTTAATACCACGCTAAAGCAATGTTTCGGTATTACAGCGTGTTTTAGATACTGGCAGTGTTATTCCTTGTCCGGAACTGCATCAATTTCGTATACAGATACTAAATATTGTTGACGATAATATCGTTCAAGCATAAGATGGATCGCCAACTAAAATGGCGTATCGAAAACAACAATCCATAAGATACTTCGATTATTATTGTACCAATACCATTGCACTTATGACGTGTTGTGGTAAACGAAATTACTAGATATCTTGAGTTGCCCAATCCACAAGCATGAGGGTCATAATTTGAGACAGCCGTCTGCAACAATGATTGCAGATGCAAGAGATGTTTTAAAGTTGAAAATGCATGGTGGCTGGAAGCCATCGACGGTGGCAGAATCTTACAGAAGAATCAATTTAAAACATCGATATCAAATTAAAATATGCACAGAGAGCAACTATGAGGTGCCTAAATTTTGCTAAAAATGAGTAATGAATACAGGGTGTTAATGAACTTATGTCAAAAATTGAAAAAGGAGCAAAAACTGAGTTAACTGATGTCACAAAGTTGTATCGGAAGTTTAAGACCATAGAGAAAAAATCTAATTAACAATATATTTAAAACTGTTTTGGGACTGCTGAAATACATGTATTTTATCCCGGCGAGTACTTACAAAAAATTCTGTAACACTTTTTACGAGTTTGTATGTTTCTTATGAAGCCGGACTGTATTCGAAAGTCAGTTTGTAATACATTGTTGTAGTGATTGCTGTGCTGTTTTTCGAGAGTATATTTAACAGTCGTATTTACAAGTTTTCTTTTGAAAATGGCGCATTTATTTAGCAATTGCGAATATTATAATATGCTCATAATTTATGGCGAAGCAAATGAAAATGCCCACAGCGCTTGTCAAGTGTACCGTGCAAGATATCCTGAACGACGTGCTACTGTACCGCGAACATTTGTTGCTGTAGCGCAGAGTTTTGGACACCGAAGTACAACCGCGTCGAGATCACGACGGTAGCCCAGGGCGACCACTAAGAATCTTGAATATCGAGATGATTTTAGATCTCGTCGAACAAGATGCGCATCGTAACACCAGAAATATCGCACAGCAAGTAAATATTTCGCATCCTTTTGTCTGGCGGACATTGCGAGAAGCTCAGTTGTACCCATTTCATATTCAACGAGTTCAAGCGCTTACTCCTGAGGCATTTCCACTACCTCTAGGTTTTAGAGAATGGTTGCTTCAGGAACATGCAAGAAATCCTCAATTTACACCACAAATACTTGTTACAGATGAAGCATGTTTCAGTCGAAATGGTACGTATCGTCCACAACACTCACCACAACACTGGACTAACGAAAATCCACACGAAATACGTATCGGTGTCTTTCAGCAACAGTTTTCAATGAACATATTGACTGGTATCGTTCATGACACATTAATAGGACCTTTTGAATTGCCTAGACGGTGCTTCATATCTAGATTTTTTGCAAAATCGTTCGCCGGAGTTATTGGAAGATGTACCATTAAATGTTCGGCAAAATCTGTGGTTACTGCATGACGGAGCCCCCGATCATTTTTTTTGGAGAGTGCGCGACTTTCTAAATAAATACTAAATATTACTTTCCCCAATCGCTGAATAGGCCGCGGCAGTCTAGTAAGATGCCCCCCCTCCGGTTCTCGGACCTCACCCCTTTACACTTCTTTTTGTGGGAATTTGAGAAAAGTGTTGTGTATTCCACGGAAGTTCGTGACATCGACCAACTACGACATCGTATTGTCAAAGCTTGTAATACGATTCGAGAGGACGTAGCAATGTTGAACCCGTGCGAGCGAATTGGATACGTCGCGCTGAAGCTTGTGCGCAAGCAAATAGTGGGTACATCGAACATCTTCATGAAAATCAGCAGTTCTCTAAAGGTGGATCCTTGCAATGTTGAAGTCAGATTTTAAAATTACATTTTACTCGACACATATCCGTGTATTTACCTCATTTTGACAAAACGAACATGTGGAAAAAATATTTGACATAAGTTCATTAACACCCTGTATAGTAATGATGCTCTTAGTATTAGACTTTCAACTGAAAATTATGTGCAATAAAAACTTTTATTGTATTGTTGCAAACTGCTAATTAGTGAGCTGTAACCGGTGAAGACCTTTAAAAATACATAAAATAAAATTAATTTGAGCTATAACCAGACAGTGACAGATAAATACCTTTATATAATTTTAATGCAAGTCCCACTCGTGCAGATCCAAATAAAGCACTTAAAATCGATACTTTACATTTCAACGTTCATTACTATGATGTATCTCGTTGAAGGTTGTAATTCGTCGTGGAGATAATTTGACGCGAGATCGATGAGTCTGAAAGTCAAAAAGAAGCAGTCGAGCGGTAAATTGTAAAAACAGGTCCTGCGGTGCGAGATCCCTTTCCAATTTAAAAAAAAGCACTCTCACACCACGGACTATTTACTGTAGACACATTGTCACCCTCCCCTTCCCCTGCAAGAATAATTATCCGGGGTGCGATAATTTTCAGAGACTTCCCCCTCCTTCTACGGCGCCTTGACCACTGCCGCCAAGCGGTAACGTCTTAAACTGGTTACAGCTCGCTATCTGTCGGCCTGAATAATGTAGTTATTTAGCAAGATCATTATCTTCGTCATTGGTGGGAGTTATTGGACGGCGCTGGGATTCGCATATTGTGCTGAGCTGTAGATTCCCAATTCCCCAAGTCAGCAGGACGGAGATGAGTAGTCGGCTACGGGAATGATCGACGACTTCGGAGTTAATAAGGGGGGCTTGTGTTTCCTCGTAATTTGTTACGTTCGCTGGCGATTGAAGACGGCAGTAATGTGTGATATTTTTCTGGAATTTGTCTGTGGGGGATGAAGTGTGATAAATTCCGCGCCAGGCTCCAGACAAAAGGCAAATTTAACAGAAAAAAATATTTCCAAGGGAGGCTAAGCTCATTATATTCTATATTCTTACCTTCTGAATATAAGGCGAATTTTAAAATTAATATAAATCTTCATAAACTAAAATAATTTTGACAAAAATATTTACAACTCATTTTCGAGGTGTCAAACCAACTTGAGTTGTCTTTCGACTGGAAAACCATTCGCATTTGAACCATAATTATTTCTTATTTTGAATAGCGCACACTTTTTTACATATTTAGCTGGAATCTAATTTTTTATTTTCACGGTTTATGTTATGTTACAATATTCTGGCTACTAACACAATAATAGCTCAACTAATTCCAAATCTTCTGACTCTGAATTCAACGCAATTAATCTCAAAAAAAACCGTTTTAAAAACGGTTGTTTTAGTACTTCATACCATTTTAAAGCAAGCTTTATTGCCAAATCAGAAAGAAATCTTACTGTCTCGAGCCCAAACTTAAGATTTGCTGAAAAACGATTACTCTCAAACAATCCCGAAATTTTATTATTCTTGATATTCTCCCGTCCTGAATGCCATTAAAATTCAAATTCCTAAACGTCACTAAACAGTTGTTGCGACGGAATGACATTAAATGTTTTTCCGCTTCAGATTTATTCCGCAGGATTTAGCGGAACGTTTAACTTTCCTTTTTGATATTTTTTGCGATATGGGGACATCAAAGAGGTCCGGGAAAAGCACTCGCCACTGATTTTTACCTCGGTACATAAATATTCCAGGGACGTCGCGAGGCAAGACAAAACTTCGCCTCGTTTCGCCGCTCTACGACACTATTTCGAAGAGGAACGCCGTAAATATTTATGTATTATCCTGTTGCCTTTGTCTGCCATATAAAACCGAACTCCGGTTCCTCGGAACATGTTCTATTGTGCCAGCATCCATACATACATGCATACGTTATGTACTTTGAAAAAAAAAACGAATTTATTAATAACTTCGTTTCATGAATATCAAAGTCGGTACAGAGATGTTGGAAATCTGAACACGGAGGAGCGTATTTCAACGGCGGGATTTTCGACGTCGCGTCGTTTAAAATTCGAATTTATCAAAACTTTTAAGGGTACTGACAGAGTTAGAGTCGAACTTAAACGCGCTCTATAAATACGTCTTGCGAAACTGCAGACTGCAGATGTTCTGCTACATCCTCTTACGCTGCAATCCAGTCTTCCAAAGAATTCAATCTCATTATCTTGCTTTGGGAAACATTTTTTTCTAATTCATCTTAGTACTCTTTCTCTTTTGTGCAGTTTGTTTGAAATGTCAAGCAACGCGATGCTCGTCCTGCTTCTAATGGCCTGTACATCGATTTATTCGCAGAAACTATACACCTTTAGGTGAGACTTGTATAGAAAGACGTACCATCCATCGGAAGCACTGTTACCCAAGTTAAAAATCCCTACCCTACGGCAATGTGCGGGTTCGGCAAAAGTCGCCAGATTGGAGGATTGCTCGTCTCCATACGTCGTTGCTTAGCCATAGTAGCAGAGCTAGGCCGACGTAAAATAAACGGATTAAAGAAAACTTTCTTAAAGAGCATGAATACAGATTTATTTAAAATCGGAAGTAAGGAAAGGGATTTGAAATCAGTTGAGGTATTGTTGTGTTAATGGTAAGCATATTGTAAGATTGAAAAAATTTAAATTGTATTAGTGAAAATTGTAATTCTGTGGAATTACAAGCTCTTGCTAAACGTATAAAACCGTGCGTTTCCTAAAACGGCAAAATAATTGTATTTAATGTATATGACGCAGTATCCTTCTACTAGTATGGCCACTTTTTTTTAATTGCCAGTGTTGCGAGAAACAACTACTCCGTGGGCTATATGCCCCGACCGGAATTGAATAATACTCGCAACACCTAGTGCAACAGCTAGGATCGTTCGTCAGTCAGTTTAACCCACCAGGCACAGACCGATTTCGGACTTATTAGTCCTCATCAGTGTGTCATAGGTGAGACAACCGACGAACGATCCAGCTGTTATGCGTCGTATCCTCACGACAAGGAAATACATTGTACGCGAAGCGTAAATGGACATTGTTGAAATTACAAAATGACAAGTGTCTACACCTTTTCAAATAAAAAGAAAATAGAAAAAGGAACCATAATTGTTCCAAAAATATCTCCAAATAGGCCAAAAGGAAAAATTGAGGAACTCGACACTAATGTTTCGAAGCCTCTTCTGAATAAAAGAGCGGCTTTTGAAACTTCAAAAAGTTTATACCGATGACGTGGCAATCAACCTAGAAATGATTCAACCATTGAACCCAATACTACCACATCCATTCCTTTTCTCCAACGTACGAGTAGATATTGCAAATTTTAGAAAACACCACTGCGTGTGTCTAAAATATTTCTAATAAGAAAATGTTCAGTTTAGCTCAACCGACATTTCCAGGGCAAACTAGAAGGCATTAAGTGTAGAAGCTGTCCCAGCCGCCGAATTTCGGGCATATACGGAGGAATAAAAAAAATTAATAGCGCTCGGCAACTAAGTTTTCGCTGCTCGGGAGCGCTAATAGAGGCCGCCTCGGAATAAAAATTTCACTTCGCAAGTAATTTATTTTCGGGACCTTTATGGCGTTATTGGGGCAATCTGTGAGTGAGGTCGTTTAAAAACAATTTGTCAAAGGAATTAGTTTTTCAGCGAAACCACTTTAAGTAATAATATTTTAAGTATAAAACGGGCGAATGGTGATTAATGACTCGGCAGGCGGGTTACAAAAATATTATCCCCGGCCCGCAACAAAGCCCCGATTCCATTATACACTTACCTTTTTTATTCCGGCGCTTTTTCCCTTTCGTCTTTTTCTGGACTACGAGGGACCCCTCCCTGCCGCCGCAAAAAGCCTCGAACATCTTGAGGAAGACGTGCTGGGTCTCGATCAGGTCGCTGAGATACGAGTCGGACATCTTCAGCTCGTCGTAGGTGACGAGCAGCGTCAGCACGAACTCCCTGTATTCGGGTACGTAGAAGATGTTGCTCTTTATTACTTTGGAGGAGTCGCGGACCGTCCCGTCGGGGGAGCGATCCATGGCGTTCAGGGTGAGGAACAGCTCTCGGTATGCTAATAGGGCCAGATGGAGCCGCCGCGACCACAGCCGCAGCTTGCTTTTGTCCGTCTGCATCAGGTCGAAATAGTTCTCGCTCAATTGCTGCACGTAGTGGAACGCCTGCACTGACATTGTTTCGCTGCAACAGAATTTGATGCGTTCAGGATTATAGGGTAGCCAGTGGCGGTGAGGCCAGGTCAAGAGGGCATAGTATAAATATTACAGGCTTCTACAGGATGCTTTAGTAAATGCTCTACACACTAGGTACACTTTTAGCTGTAGATAATCATAGCCCAACCATCATATCTGAAATTTTTTCCGATTATTTTCGTTTGTATCTGGAAATCTCGTACTTTAACGGTTGGAAAATCATTTTTTGAGAAAAAACAACTTAGGCGAATTTGGGAACATAAAAATCGCGTCCAGGCATGAAATATAACACTACTGATGTTAAAAATAGTTATCAGAAGTGGGATACTCATGCTTTGATATTTTTATATATTTTTTAATGTTTTTAAAACAATCACATTGCCATTCAAGTCTAAATACAATATACTCTTATTTATATTATCAGTTATAAATCTTTAATCTCACACTACTTCATTCCACTACACATTTTGTATACTATTATTAAGGTGGGTAATAAAATTTGGATAATAAAAAAAAACGAATCCTGTACCGACTTATAAATGGTTTTATGAATATCCCACTTCTGATGAAAAAAAAAATGGTCATCAAAAGAGGGATGTTCATATTTCTTACAGAGCTTAGAGACTGTGCGAGCCGATACACGTGCGGTTTTTTATCGCCGAAAAAAGCGAAATGGCCGGCAATTTTTAGGATTTAGACAGAATTGTTTATTGATGCAGTGCAAAAGCATCCTCAAATTTGAAATGCCGCATTGGAGGATTACCATGACAGAATTAAAAAGACAAATGCATGGGTTATTATTGGGCGCCAAACTTATCTAATATAAGACAAAACAGCAAAGTAACCACGAATGATACGCACCAAATGAAAACAATTTTACGATGTAAAATCGGATCCTATTCGATCATCAACCTTGGTGGGGACTGCCGTTCGATCCGTATCGATTAATAATTTCGCAGCCTCGTGCTTATTACGCAGGTCCGTTGATCGTTGATCCTTGTTTACTTCATTGGAATATGTAGTTCACACTACAGTCACTTTAAACTTTGTGAATGACGTGAAGTGAAGTAACCAATGAACAAGCATGATACACGTGTAATAGGTAAACATGATGCTGCAAAACTATTGGTCGAAAGATCCTTGGATTAAAGATGAGATTTATTAATTTTTAAATATATTTTTGTAGATTCTAGATAGAAGATATATTTGCGAGTTTTATACTCCATGAAACATTTTAACAAGAAAAAAAGTATAAACATAAAATATGTTTGTTTAGAATATTGTTTCTAATAAAACCTGTTTCTACTTTCCTACATGTATCCCTTTCTACTGTCATGATCATATCGTGGCTGCGCGCAATTGTTTACATCGTTGGAATATGTAAAGTGACCGTGGTGTACTCTCCCTTATGAGCCCCGAGCCCTTTCGCAACAATTTTCCTGTGTCTGCAGTATTTTCTCAGGTGGCCTAGTTACATTGTTTTAATAAACAGCCACTTAGTAACAGTCCCGCATGCATAGAAAGTCTATTAAATTTTACTATTAACGAAATAATTTTGTTAATTAAACTTTTTTACGTTCTAAGAATAAATAATGTTGAATAGACATTAAAGTTTCAATTATTCTATTGCCTCGTTACATTTAATTTTCAAGATTCTTAATTATTAAAAAGAAATATTTTAACTAAAATCCCCATTTTTGGTATCAGCAGAGTATTTAGCAGATTTGGAGGCAAATCCCGCTTTCAGTTTTTCCTCCGAGCCCCGACTATCAAATCTCGGCCGCGGCGTTGTTCAAAAAGCGGCAAAGGACATTTAAGTAGATTAAAACATGCAAAAAGACTTACCTAACTAATTTAACTTCAAATTTATAGCATCTATTAAATTCCATGAAAAACCTAAGAGCCCATAAATAATAGGATTCGTCGTGCGCTTGGGCCTTCGCCCTCGCCAAATTGTCCTTGGCGTGGTACATTAGCGTGTTGTAGGCGCCGTTTAAAAATTCAACGCAGAACTCTTTCAGGAAAAGCCTGATGGTGAACGCGGAGCGCCGCTCCGACGTGCTGCTCACTATCGGCAGCCGGTTTTTCGGCGTCTTCGGTTTCTTTTTGTCGACGTCGAAGTCCAGCGCGTCCAGTTTATTCAGCGGCTTGTGGTAGATCAGATCGTTGTCGCTAATGGACTTCATCGACTGTACGACGAATGTGCCGCCGAACCTGGAATGCCTAAAAAAATTGTCTATTAAAAAAATTCGTATGTATATACATATATCTTCTGGTATTTGTTTTGCTGTTACGAGAACTGATTCTTTTTTAGCAAAATCGACAGTTTAGGCGAATTTGTTAACATGTATACAGAAATCATCTTCAAGAATGAATATCCTTGTTGTAAAAAAAGTATGAAAATGGTTATTAGAAGTGGCATATTTGTTCTCGAAAACAGTTACGTTAGAAAATATCCTCCGAACTGTTTTGAATTTAAAGGTAAATACATGAAACTAATGTCAAGTATGAAAATACCACTTCTGATGTTAAAATGGTTATCAGAAGTGGAATATTCAGGCTTTGATATTATTCTTGCTTCAGAATTTCTTTGAGATTTTTGATCCGGTCACATATATGCAATTCCACATTCTCCCTTATCTTAGGAAGTTTTTACTCCTGGTACATTCAATTCCTGCACGTGCCAAAGTTGCTGCCGCGGCGCAAAGTTTTTCGCTACACTTCCTTCCAAAATAATGGGAAATTAATTAGAAGAAAAATTTTCAGGCGAAAAACGACATTATTTAAAGATATATCATTATCGACGTCTTGTTTCGCAGTCTTGTTAAAATTTGATTCCGGGAAACGGCCTTTCCCCCTCGTTTTGCCAGCGCAAAACCCGGGCCCCGACTCGCAAAGAGCGGCCGTCAATCAGTCCAATCTGGGCAATAAATAAAAACGCTGTCGGAACTGACGGGGCGGCTTTTGCAGAAGGGGGATCGCAATACTTTTATTGGACCGAAATGGAAATGTCATTTTTTGTGGAGTAAATATCGAATTAAGACTGAAATATTTGATAAGTTTTCATTATCAATTATTATTAATTCGTCATGTTACACCACGTGACTTCGATGTGTTTTTTATTAACGAAACATAACTGCCAAGTAGCAAGGCTTTCAATGGAGAAATTTTTCTCCCTCTTACGAGGTCAATGTCAAAATCACTGTTACTGAGATTGCTAAAGAGAGGAGATAGTGTTTAGGTGAAAATATAATGCCACTAAATTAGATTTTTCTGACACAAATGCTTTAAATTGATCTGATCTTATGTCCGGTGTGCCACAAGTATCTAATTTTGGACCACTTCTGTTTCTCATCTGCATCAATGATATTACTAGTGTTATTAACTTCCACAAATTGATGTTTGCAGATGATCTTAAAAGTCATAGTGGGATAAGTTCAGCATGGGACAGTATAGTACTGCAAAGTAATGTTACAGTTGTTGGATGGTGCGTAAAAAATCACTTACAAGTGCAATAAAAACGAAGTGATACTATTCGATTATGATGAGAAATTAAAGACTTGCACATAGCACCTAAAATATTTCCTAGTCATCCCATATCCCTAGATCAAAGATAGAAATATTTTATAGCTAATGGAAGGTGGAAAGATAAACATTTTTGATTATTTCCGAAAAAAATAGTGCCTAAATAAACACCAATCTGCACCTCGAAACCTGTGGATAATTTAACGAACGAGTAAATAAAAAGTGTATCCCCAAATCAATCCCCCACTTGATGCTCTGCGGATTCCTCTCGAGGCTTATGCAAATAAGATTTCCTTTTTAATAGCGGCATCCCCGATCTCCCTCCGCTTTTAATACGCGGCCCGCCACATTACTGTAATCATTTTTCTCTTCGTCTTGGAATGATGTTGTTTTGAGGTTCGTTCAACAGTGAAATCGTAATTTTGGTTCCCCGGTCTTTTGCGCGTTAACAGAAAATACGATATTAAACGCGCATATACTACTTTAATAACTGCTTCACTGTTGAAAAGCGTTGTTAAATTAATCCTTCATATTATTGCTCGATAAAGATAACAACGTGAAGAAATATCCCACTTCTGATGTCAAAAATTATTAACAGAAGTGGGATATTTATTCTTGGGTACGATTTTTATACGTTCACGTAATGTTTAAAAGTAAAACATCGCACTAACCTGGTTCCACTAAACATTTTCACCTTCTTCTGCTTCTGGTTATTTTCCCTGAGCCTTATGGCCAGCAGCTCAGCCTCATCCCGAACTTTTTCAATTTCGCTTCGTTGCAAGGCGGCTCCGGCCAGTTCTGTGGCTCTTTGCTCCCTCAGCATGAAGGAGAGGATCTCCAAGATGTGCATGTAGTAGGCCTGCTCGTTGGAGGAACTGGTGATGTAGAGCATTATGTCCAACATTCCAGATTGGTGCAGAGCCCAAAGTACCTAAGGACACATAGTAAGGTCAGGGTGTTCCTGAACTTAGTGGCACAATTTTAGGAGTATACTAAGCAAGTCGAAGTAACATGGAAATCTAAGTACGTTTTGCCGAGATACGAGTGTCAAAATGGTACTTAACTAAACTAAATAAGTTTTCTTATTACAACTTTTACTCAGGAGATTTGGAAAGCTGATGTTTTTCCTGGTACAGTTAGTTTGAAAATGAATAGCAGTATAAATAGTAAATTGGTAAAAAATCATTCGTGTACAACAAAAATAATGCTGGACCTAATATAGATACTTGGGGAACACCTGTACTGATTTCGATTATGTATTTTTTATTAATAGCTTCTACAAATTTAATACCCACTCTAAGACCATAAAAGTAATTTGTCTGAGTTAGAATTGAACCTCGGAAAATAAACGTATTTAGATTTTCATCTTCTCTAGATTGGCTTAATATCCTCCTGGAATTATGCCTCCGGCCTTGGGACACTTAATTTTACGTAATTATTTTTCCAGGTATTAACACAGCCAACTTTTAAACGTTAAACGACGGTGGAGGAATACAAAATAAACAAAAACTCCAAATAAAATCTTTTAGACAAATATCCATTCAGTGAATCTAGAGCAGAAAACACGGACCAGACTTCATTTGGAGCCTAAAAATACAGGCGGCCGGGTGCAAAATTCAAATTTATGGTAAACTCGGATTACTATTCATTTACCTGGTCGTGAACGCTCGCGTCGTTGTCCGGTCTTTTTTCCATGGAGTCAGCTGGCACGTACAGGACGTTCCTTATGAGAATTAATATTCTCTCTATGATCAAACTATTCTCGTCCCCCCTTTCGACGTAGTCCTGAAACAACACGGGGGTTGATTAAATCCAATTATATTGACTGGAGCAATTGTCCGTCAAACAAGTCTGGTTTTCCGCCAAGGATTATAATGGGCATTCAGGTCCAGACTGGAATAACTAACTACCACAGTTTTTTGTCCGCATGTCTGGGGAAACAAGACTTGGTGCATGAAAGTTAGCTCATTAATTACTGTCATTTATTTGTGAATAATCATGACCAAGGCGTAATATACCCGAAGATCGACACAAAGCTTTGAAAAATTGTACATTACAAATGTTTCTTTGGACGAGAAAATACTTATTAACTTTATAACTATGGATTTCACAAAAATGTAGTACCATCAAAATGCGTAATTTGTCGTGAAAATATGTAACGGGTAGGGACTTTGAAGTTTAAAAGACCATTAAATTAATATCCCCCGAAGATTTCCTCCGAACGAAACGAGGTGGGGCAATAAAACTCATAAAACCGATTATCCGCAGTGGTTTCTGCCCGGCCGGTCATCGTTTACACGGAAAACGAAACCGTGGAAAGTTTTTTGAGCGGCATGCCCCGCGGACCGACCTTGAACGAATATCAAACTCGACGCTAAGAAAAGTTCGAAAACATTCCGGGAAACCGGGACGAAAGTAAAAATCGGCCTTTTTCCAACGCAAATTAATTAAAGTTTCGGGAGCGAAACATGATTAAATTCCTAATTCGGAGGCGCCGAGAGCACAACAAGTTGTCGAACGGTCAGAATGGAAAAAGTAGAATATGCCCTCCGATGAGGTCCCTTAAGAAAAAGGCGGCAGCCGCAGGGATCAATTATCCCTAATGAATCCCGTTCGATTGTATCGGGACCGCGTTCTGAATATTTAAGCATTCCCCTCGGTTTTTTTTTCGAAGCCTTTTACCTAAATAATGATTCCTATAAAAGGTGTTGGTTGAAATTGGGTTTGATCCAGTACGAATACTACTTATGCATAACCGAATAACCTTTTATTGGGTTTATAAAATTTGATTGTAAGGACCGTTAGTAATGCTTCATGATTTTGTACAACTGCTAAAATTTTTCAAGAACTTTAAATTTGCACTGCTGTTCATAGATAGGTATTGTCTGAAGTGGCTTAATTATGGCACAGTTTTCATTTTTTTTTCTGTATTTACCGAATATTTTGCCACCTGTGAACAAAGTTTAAAAAAATATATGGAAGAGGTTATTTTTTATTAAAAATTTCTGTTAATGTAATCTTTGTGCTCGTCTAATTTAATATTTACAAGTATGCTATAAATACAATTTTTTGAATTTTGTTCATCACTGGAATCTTTTTCATATTCGTTCACACTGATTAGGATGATAATAAAATGTATACAGGGTGTTAATGATAAGTTTTGCCAAACATTAATGGCGAATTCTACCGATGAAAATAATCAACTTTTGTCCTATAAAAAATTTTGATAGGATGTTTCCCTACGAAGATACAGGGTATTAAAAGTTTCAATTATTTATATGATTTTTCCTTTTTGCAACACACAAAACAGTGGCGTTTTGAAATCTCTCAAAAATATTAGGTATTGAATTTATTGTTACACATTTAGCAATCAATAGAAAATGATAAATAGCAGCGTAGGTACTTCAGAATATTCTTATTTGATTTCCCAATTACTAATGACCAGTAAATTTTACGAATACTTTATTGCCACAAATTGATTGTTCATTTCAAAAAACATTTAAAATTATTTAAAAAACCAGTGGCGTACGATTGTTTTTCAAATAAAGGTCCCCTACTTCCCCAATAACTACGCCACTGGAGTGTATTTTGGAATAAGTTATCCATGAAAAAATAGTCCCTACTAAAAAAAATGTCATTCCCTAAATTTTATCACTCAATCTTTTATGCCAGTGATGTTACAGGAAAAATAATATAAATATTTGAAACTTTTAGGACCCTGTATCTTGATTATTTTCATCGGTAGAATACGCCATTAAAGTGTGGCAAAACTTATCATTAACACCCTGTATATTTTGCTGGAAATTATTTTTCTGTTATAAAAAATTGTTATTTGAAAGGATATACTCGTAATATGCAGTTATTTTAACATACAATAATTTATAGACAGACAGAAATAAAAAAATTTTCAGAATTAAATACATTTTGGTAAAGTTCCTGCTTTTAATAAAATGGAATTGATGCACAATTCGCATAACTTTGTTCCCAAATCAGTGTCGCCTTCAATTTCAGTTAGATAAATTCAGTTTTTAGGAATAAATAATGTTCGTGTTTTGTAGAGAGCAAAACAGTGATTTTTCAATAGTTTATGTTACAAAATCAGTTTAAATGTTTTCACATTGAAAGTTTCAAAGTAATCTATACTATGAAGAAGAATGTAATTTTTTGTACGAAGTATTGAAACCATATACCTGTATGTGCACTATACAGGGTGTTCCTAAATATCATGTACATAAGGGAGGGGGTAATTCTTTGGCATGTCCAATGATGTAAACCCTACAGCGTAACTTATATTCCAATTTTGAGCTAAATATCTCAAAAACTGTGGGAGCTATAGAGAAAAAGCTAAAAAAAACCTTAAAATTTCAACACCCTAGATCGGTAACGAAGCGTTTGCGGACCTATTTTTATATGAACTTTTAGTCATGAAATAAGCAAAAGAATTACCTCCTCCCTTTTGTACATGATATTTCGGAACACCCTGTATATACATATATTTTTTAGAGAAAGATATTTCTTTTGGTTTTCAAGATGTTGAACTCGGGAATTTTAAACGTAATACCCAATGTCAACAAAGATGACAAAATTTCAAAGTTAATTTCTATAGTTAATATTTACGAAATATTAAGTAAAAACGAAGTTAAAAAAATTAAAAAATTTTCGCAGTCGGTAGGATTCGAACCTACGCTCCCAGAGGGAATCTGATTTCTAGTCAGACGCCTTAACCGCTCGGCCACGACTGCTGATGGTAAAATTGTTCCTTAGATGCGTTTTCAACAGTTTAAAATTGTAAAAATTATTTTTATATATTTTTATACTATATTTTAATTGAATTTACAGACAAAAATATTCAATTAAATGAATTTAAAAAATCTTTTAATATAAAGTATGATTTTTTTATTGATATTAGCTCTTTATTATGTACTTCCTATGGTATTAAGACAAATTAATTTCTATTTTAAACAGTTTGATAACAATTATCTAAAATTCTTATCAATTTATTTAAATAACTGGCACATAATTTAAAATACATAAGGTAAAGAGACACATTTATCGCAATGAAATTAATATACCTACAAAATGTTTGAAAAATATGAATTTTGGGCATAATTTTTCTCACAAAAATGATGCTAGAAGTTCCCATGGCACTTTTTGGAACGCTCAATATTAACAGCGTTAAAATTGCATATTAATAATCAGCCCTTAAATTCTTTAGATGTAGTAAAAAATCTAGGGCTCCTAGATTCTAAGCTTCGGTTTTGAGAACAAGTCTCTATTTTGGTAAAAAAAATGTTATATTGCTTTGAGGTTGCTTTACCAAAATGTAAGTATAAACAATTTTCGAGAAGGTATTTTCCTATTTGGATAGGTTTGTTCATATAATCTACTTGCCATTCTTCTATTACAGTCACATTTTCCGTAAATTAAATGCATATGTGCAAGGTGTATTGTTCTGCCATAACAAATTTTAATGAGTAACACCAGCTAAATTTTATGCTATCAAAACTTACAATTAACTTTTGACAGGAAAACTGAAAGGTTATTTTAAATTTCATGGCTACTATGATGACGAACTTGCTACCTCTATCTTGTCGGGTGCACGACAATAAATTTTGCAAATTTTAAAGAGAACGGTTCATATTGGCGACATTGAACAAGAGTACCTTTTTTGTGACATATTAGTTTATTTTTCAGAAAATTTGATCAATTTTCCGAAAATGCAAAGGACAATTTTTTTTTCATAATAAAATCCTATGTGCTACCCCGACTGTCCGCTCCTGGGCGATGGGAATAAATTGTTTTTGCACGAAATTGTTGCATTTTAGTGTCTAAGAAACTGCACCAAGATTCATTTAAATTGCCTAACTTTTGTAGAAGTTATTGCGAAAAATTGTTTCTCAAACTGTACCTTTATCACCCTGTAACTTTTTTATTATGCATTTTCGGAACTATGTTTACATGAAACTTTTTGCTCAAAATGACATTTTCTATCTGTCATATTCATTTGGCACCATAGTTTAGAAACATCCTGTATATTTAAAAATATAAACTTTTCAAACTTTCCAAACTTTAGAAAATTTCGTTAAAAAAATCATTTCTGATTTTAGAAGTTGATGAAGATTCATTACGTTGGAATTCTAGAATTTTGATGATTTTTTTTCCATTGGAGTAGTTAATTAATAACTGAACCAAATTTGAAAAAAAAAATGAGGTGAATATTGAGTTTCGAAAAGTGTCATTAGTCTTACGAGTAAAATAATTATTTTCTCATAGCATCCGAACAACCTATAGGTATATGTAATAAAATTAAACTGATATTAACTACTGCTAGGAAAAAGAATAGCAGTTCATTTTCAGAAGATTTAAAATCTTGTTTTTATTGGTCGAAATTTGCCTTTATATCAGGAAAAGCGACCGCCACTGCCTGCAAAATAAAATCTAGGGCACCCGCACAGCCCCGAGAACAACTATCCGTCACCCCTTTGTCAGTTAAAATGATAATGCCCCGCATTATTGCGAGAGCGGCGTATTTATGACTTCTGCTTAATCTTCCTTAGAAACACACTGAATTATGCCCGGGGGGAGCCCCCACACGCCCCCCCCGGAGGCGATCAAACAAGGGGGACGGCCGTTCCCCCACGTCGCGTCGCCGTCTCATTTTAATTATTGTCGCAAAACAAATAAAACTCGGAAATTCGAGAAAATAATCAAGTAAGCCGCGGCGCGCAATCAAGCGCCGGTAAATCAGCCATTTGAATATTTAATGTGTTACCTAAAGCCCCCGT